TGCCTCGTATCGCTGGACCTGAAGGGTGGTGCGTTCAGGGAGGAGGGGAGCAAGAAGGAATGTGGCCAGTATTTGCTGTTCTGATGAACATTAAATGATCATGAAAGATGGGAAGTTCTCCAGCAGAGATGTGACCTTTTTCAGTGATGTGTTCAGGTTAAAACCATGGACAGGAATTATGCACTCCACACTCAAACATGCCGACGCTTTGTGACCTTCATTTAAAAAACAAAATCCTTCATGACTGCAGGTTAGATGGCAGAAGAAACGGATCTTTGCTGAAGGTTCCCTGTATATTTCTGACTGGTGTACTGTATGTAAAGACAGAATAAAACCTTGAATGTTACATGAAGCCTGAACTGGCCTTCTTCCTGCTCATTTGTGACCTACAAGTGTGTGTGTGTGTGTGTGTGTGTGTGTGTGTGTGTGTGTTACTGCCTTTGTGTGCTTTCTGCTCACTAAGTAATGTGTGCAGAAAACGTGAGTGGGTGGTCATGTGACCTTGCGAGAATGGTGGGATTTAATAAGTAAAAAAAAGGACCGGTGGTGTGAAGAAAACTGCACAGAGGTGGCTTTGGCTCGTATTGATAGAGGTCTAAAAATAGCAAATGGAAAACAGTCCTTACAGAGCACAGCTGGCGGCGTGATGACATTTCTGAACTCAGCAGGTGACTCTGAAAGGTTTCAATGGGATTAAATCCTTTTCACTGTGTCACTGATGAAAGGAATGAACCACATTTTTCAGAGAGAGAGAGAGAGAGTGTGTGTGTGTGAGTGTGTGTGTGTGTGTGTGTGTGTGTGTGTGTGTGTGTGTGTGTGTGTGTGTGTGTGTTAAATTGTCTAAATTATCCTACATGCTACTGCTCACAATTTTTAGTTTGTGCAGGTATGTCCCTAATTTCTGAAACCTGTGTTGCTTGTATGTTCAGTGCTCATCCATCCTCCTCAGCAAGGTCACATGGTGGCTCTGCTCAACTGGGATTGAAGGCTTGTTGCCATGGCGATAAGCCAGCCGGTAATATCTCTAAGCACAGCCAGGATTAATCTGCCGACAGATGGCTGGGAGCTCAGCGTCACTTCCTGAAACACACACACATACAGAGGATTCATATTCTCCATCATTATCACCATTGTTCCCTCGTTCTTTCACATTGCTGCTATTGCTGCTGTCATCCATGCACCTCATGATCTTCCTCCCACTCAGACCCAGATCAGACCTGATCTTCAGCATCTACGGGGTCATCCGGCGCTGACACTGATCCTGTAGAACTGTCACTATTACCTTCATCACAGAGTTTAAATCAGCATACCCACTTCTCCTGTTATCATGACAACATTAGAGACAGAAGTCTACAAGTCCCAGTGTGAGCAGAATACAGACATTTAAGGTGAAAGTTGAAAGTTGGTGCTCCACAAAAATAAACAATCAACGATGAACAAGAGTCTGCTTATAGACCTGCAGAAAGAGAAAAACAACACACAACAATACAACTAGAGAAAGCTATCACTGCGTCAACCTGATGAGGAAATATAAAGTCAACATTGTTTTACTGAACATTCACAATTATAAATCACAGTGCATTAAGTGCCAGCCACAGCCTTAAGACATGTGTTGAACGTGCCCAAGTCCTTACTTATGAGAGCACCATGTGAGCACCTGTGTGTGTACACGCGCTTGTATATGTAAGGTTTCTCTATAGGAGCGTCCAATAGAGAGTGTGAGAGGCCACAGATCTGCCCCCAAAAATATGTAGGAGATGGAGGGAGCTCCATTTCCCAGAGGTCCAGGAGCTGCCCTAGAGTGCAGGGACCCCAGGGAGACTTCAACCAAAGAAGCCCCAGCCCCCCTCTCAAGAGGAGAAGAGGATTGCCCTGGGGGCCACAACCAGCAGCCGGCAGGCCCCCCACACACTCACTACCCTCCCTCATGCTCACACATACACATACAACAATGAACGCAAGACACCCACTCATGCTCCCCATACACACCCTATTCACTCTGGTCCCGGTACTGCTGCAAACAGGGTACAACCATCATCAGTTACCAGAGTTTGCCTCTTTCTGCTGCGGTGATGATGAGCAGCCACCCCCGCCCAACGCTGAGCAAAGCAACCAACCACCCCAGATCATGACGGCCAGCTCCCCCTCCTAGCCTCCAGCCCCGGGAAGCCAAGCGACAACAGAGGTGTGCTAAGACCCCTAGTCTCCCTCTGCCTGCTCCAATACAGTGTTGATGAGGTGTATTCCATGGCTGTGGTGAGCGGGCAATGCAGGCATAATCTGGCCTATGCCAGCTGATGCCATCACACAGCCCTACTTCCCCCCACAGCCCTCTGTGTCTAAGTGCAGTTTAAAATTGGAAGTGGACACCGACACTCGGGGTGGGGCTGAAAGATCCTCCTGCCAAATGCCATTGAATGTGCTCACTCCCAAGGCCCTAAGTTTGTGTTTGCGTGGAATGTCGTTGGTGGAAGTGTTTATTGCGCGAATAAAATTGGGGGGCAGGCTGCCACAGGAATGTGAAAATGGGATCCATACCCACACCCCCTGACTTGCCCACCCCCAAAGGTCCTATGTGCATGATTGTATGATGATGTGAGGGAGCAGGAGGAGAAAAATATGCGGGGATTGGGAGGAATGGCTGGTTGGGCTTAGCCCTCCAGGGAGCCAGCTCCCCGACTGGCCCCAATAGGCACCTCCATTCCCAAAATGCCACCCAGGGCATGAAGACCCCAGCCCATCTTGCCGGGGCCCAAAGCAGCAGCATCACAGAGCCTCGCGGAATTCAAGAGCACCAACTCTGCCTCTCCCCAGCAGAATATCTACTCCCATCCCTACATTTGCACAACTTCCAGAATATGTAAGACGAGACATTCAGGTAAGGTTGGGTCCTCCCCCTCCTGGACATCCCCCCCCCCCTCTTCCCCCGTGATGGGACAGAATTGTTATTATTTCAGAGGAGCAAAGGTCCACCTGAAGCCCCAGAGCCTGGGCCAGGCACTGCCACATGTTCCCGCCTTCTTCCCGGCAGCATACAAGTCAGGACCCAGTCCCCAACGCCCCGCCCAGATCCCCATGTGGGGCCGGTCGCTCCCACACCCCGAGCCCCCAGGCCCCCACCCAGACCTACTCAAAGGCGATGCAGCCAACAGGCAGCAACCCATGGTCACCGTCAAGACCCCCCAAGGGGCCCCACTTACAACCGCCAGTAGTCCACCCCCCAAGGCAACCCAAGAACCTCCAGAGCTGGGCAACAGCCCCCCAGACCCCAGTGAACTCACCTCCAGGGAACATCTGAATACTCCAAACTCAGACCCTCCATCCCATCACCCACATCATCCTGCAGGACAATATCAACGAACCCCTAAAATCGCTATGTGAAGGAACTGATCAAAGGAGCCCAGAGAGATTGATTTGAAGTGGAAGCAGAGGCTATATCAAGTGTAATATGATCTAACAAAATATTTCTATACTGGTTAATGCAATATCTCTATTTTTCCAATTTATGAGGATAGTTTTCTTAGCGATGCATATGGCAGTCAGAACCTCGTGAACCAAAGGCGTTTCAATTGGGACATCGTCCAGGTTTCCCAGCAAACAAAAAGAGGGTGAAATTTGGATATGGCATTTCAGACACTTTTACAGGTCTTCACATACTCTACCACAAAATTCCTGGACAGGTGGACAGGTCCACAGTGAGTGGATGTAATTGTTAGCAATGTTATTTATGCAGTCTGTACAGGTGTCAGACGACACAAACCCCATCCTGATCATCCAATGACCTGTATAGTGCACTCTGTGCAGAATTTTGTACTGAATTAAAATGGGATATCTGATCATTTTTTGTTTTTAAACAAGTCTGGGGCCAGAAGTTCTGGTCAAAGCTGACTGATCAACCTCCCATTTTTCAATAAGGAGTGCTATTGTATTGTCCATTTTGGACAGTGTCTTATAAACGTTAGGCAGTAGTTTTGGGTGTTTCAGATTACAGAAGTCTAATACCCTTGGTGATGTTTGTAATTCTACTTCAGTAAGCTTAAATTTTTGTTTAGCTATAGATTTAACTTGGTTATATTCTAAAAAGCTATTGTTATCCATCCCAAATTGGGAGACTATTCTGTTAAAGAGCATGTCACATCGAAATCAACTTTTTTTTTTAGCTGATAACCAGTATAAATGAGTGTCTAACAGTTTTGTAGACATGTGTAGTTATTATTTTTGCATTTTGATGCATTTTCTTTGAAAACTCCAAATTCTGTCTAAAAACGTCAGTCTTCAGCTGAAAAGTATAGAACACATTTATTTTGAGTTGGTTTTAGCCAATGGCTAATGAGAACGATGCTACGTATCCAAGAACAGTACTATGTAGCAGCTCTGTGGCTGTAGGTTATAAAAGCACCGCGGTCTCAACCAGCCTTGTAGCAGTCGAGGATCAGATTAGCTGCAAGTGAGTTGTGCTGTAGTTAGCATTGTGTCAGAGTCCCAGCAAAACTTCTAGTACTATAGTTATTTAGTTCTAGTAGCTTGGCTGTTAATATTGTAGTTAAGTGTTCTTTACATGTTAGTATTTCACCAACTTGATGCAGTTTGAACCAGATTATGCTGGTTTGAAGAGCATTTCACAGATAAGTTCACAGCGTTCCAGTAATTAGGCTGATCCCGCCGACTGCTGCTTCCTCAAAATGGAGATTTTGGGCCCAATTTGAAGTGAGTAAGCTAAATAATTACTTTTAACAGCTTCTAAATCAAATCAAAGATACTTTATTAATCCCAGAGGGAAATTAGAGTTTCAGTACACACAATTCAGAGATCAGACATACATGGGCAAGACACGTGAGAAGAATTGGTGACTGTGTTCATTCGCAACCCTGAGTCGCACTACCTTAATAGAGATGAGGGTTACATGAGGATTGGTTTAGGTGGAGGGGAAAAAAAGGCACTTCAGTTACCCTCCCACCAGGAGGGCAGCTTTGCTCTGCAAAAAAAAAAAAAAAAAAAAACACCTCAAACATATATGCAACAGACTTCAGACAACACAACATAAGTGTCCACTAGGTGGGGTAGTGGGTTGGAACTATCCCCAATTCAGTTCCTGCAGCCATGATAGAAGCAGCGCATGTCACCTCAGTGTGGACAGGGGGAGGAGCATTGAGGGTTGGAGGGTTGCAGTGACCCTGGAACGATTCAGCGGCCTTCCCGCAGTCCCGCCCAGGCTGGGATAGGAGACCGAGTTGAGTTGCCATAGCGACGGCACATTCCACATATTTTCTGAGGGGGGAGTTTTCGTTGGAGCCTTGCAGGCTCAAGGGCGCCAGATTCCGATTAGAAATTGTTTTGGGGCCAGACCGAGATAATTTTCTCTCTGTCTTACAGTTCCTTGGTCCTCAATCTCTCAAAATCCCAAGAATGGACATTAATCTATCCCAATCCATGTGATTCGTCCACTCTATCCTTGATGGCATCCATCTTTAGTGCCAATGAATGAATCTCGGCCAAAGTCTCAAGCTTACGATTCATCTCGACTAGGGATGCACCGATACCGATACCAGTATCGGGTATCGGCCTCGATACCAAATTTTCCAAAGTACTCATACTCGTTAAAAGTCCCTCGATGCCAGGGACCGATACCACGGTCTGAGAAATGTCTATGTTTGAGCAGCGAGTAAGGGATTAATCACAGGTGCCGAGTGCCCGCCCCCAGGGTCCCAGCTGCAGCTCAGAGCAGGGAGAAAAGGCGAGATGAGACACGGGATGAAACATCATGTCAGCAGTGTGGAACTATTTCAAAGTGGATGAAGATGACAAAACAAAGGCGGACTGCAAATTATGCTCGGCGAAATTGTCCAGAGGAGGCGCAAAAGGTTTAACACAAGTAATTTAATCAAGCACCTAAAATCCAAACACGACAACGAGTACAAAGAGTTTACCGATGCTTCTAAACCAGCACAACCCACGCTGCAGCAAACTCTTGCAAGACGAGAGAAAATGTCCAAAGACAATCCACGTGCTGTGAAAATAACACAAGCTATTATGGAGTACATTGCACTGAGTGACCAGCCACTCTCGGAGGTAGAAAATGTGGGATTCATGTTCTGGAGCCCAGATATGATGCCCCAAGCCGCCGCTACATGACTGACACAGAGCTGCCCAAATTACACGACTCTGTGAAAAAACATATCCACAGCCGACTGCAAGTCTCTTCTGAGTTTAGTTTCACCACGGATATTTGGACCAGCAGTGTTAGCCCCGTGTCGCTAATTAGCCTAACTTCCCAGTGGATAGACGAGAGTTTCACACCGCAACGAGCCACATTACATGCGAAACAACTCCGCGGCTCGCACACCAGCCAGGCTATAGCGCATGTGTTTGAGGAAATGCTCCAGACACGGGGTATACCTAAAACATCAGTACACGTTGTGCTTCGTGACAATGCCAAAAACATGATTAAAGCCATGAATGACGCAGGGCTCCTAAGTCTGCCGTGTGTCACGCACACGCTCCAGCGGGCTGTTCACGAGGGCTTATTAGCACAGAGGAGCATAGCTGATGCTATAGCAGTGGGGCGAAAAATAGTTGGGCATTTTAAGCATTCCGCCTTAGTCTACTCCCGCCTCGAGGACATTCAGGGACAGCTGAACCAGCCAATAAAGAGACTGCAGCAGGACATACAGACGCGCTGGAACAGCACATATTACATGCTTCAGTCCCTCATTGAGCAAAAGCGAGTGCTGGGGGTGTATGTGTCTGAGCATGAACTCCCTGACTGTCTCACCGCTCACCAATGGGCTCTTATTGAGAAGACTGTTGCCATACTCGCCCCCTTTGAGGAACTAACTACAAAAGTGAGCAGCTACGACGCACTAGCCTCTGATGTCATCCCAGCTGTGACTGTGCTTGTGAGACTTCTAAACAGAGAAACTGACGAGGACCACGGTGTGAAGACAATGAAAGCAACCTTACTGACAGCTGTCAAGAAGCGCTTCAGTGGCGTGGAGACCAACCCACTGTACTTCATCTCCACCATACTTGACCCAAGGTAAAGTCTATATTTTCCCATATTACTCCCAGAAAGCCACATAGCTGACATTTGTGACAGTGGTTTAGGGGAAACTAAAATCTCTCCTTTTTTTCCACATATTAATAAATTCTTTAATTTTGTTCAGGTATAAAGATCGCTTCTTCTCCACCAACACTGCCTCAGAGGCCAAGCTGCACCTGAAGCAGGAGCTGCAGATGATGTCCAGAGCTGAGTCAGAGGGTAGTCGGGCGGAAGCTGCAGAACCTCCTCCTAAACTGTTCCTCAAGGCCCAGGCCAGCACTAGCAGCAGTCTGGACACTGTCTTTGAAGAAATCGCCATGGAGCAGGCCCAAGCAGCACAGCCGCTGGCAGCAGGAGCAGCCATTGAGCTCGACAAATACCTCGGAGAGGCTCCAAGCCCTCGTGAAGACAGTCCTCTGAAGTACTGGGGTGTCAACAAAATCAGGTTCCCCACTTTGGCTAAAATGGCCCGTAAATACCTCTCAGCTCCATGTAGCAGTGTGGAAAGTGAAAGGCTCTTTAGCTCTGTGTCACACATTTTAGATGAAAACAGAAACAGGCTTACTGCTGATAATGCAGAAAAGCTACTTTTCTTAAAAAAAAACCTGCCTCTCACTTTTTCTAAATAGGCTCCATTAAGTGAGCCATCTTGGAGTTTATTTTAATACCTACCTCAGTTGCACTGACTGCCAGAGTCCAATGTTGGTGGTTGTTGTTAGTTTATTCGGATATTGTGCACTAAACAGCAAAGATGTTTATTAACGCCTCTTGTGCTGTCCAAAGCGGCAGAGTTTACAACAAACTGAAAAAAAGTACTTGAGTTGCAATGTTTACCTTTTTTTATAATTATTTATTCCTTAATATGTTGCATGAAAGATGCTGCAGTTTTCATTTTTAAATAAATGTTCTTAATTCCAAACTAGTGCCTTGTTTTTTTTGTTAAATTATGAGACTAAAGCTGTTACCTGTAAATTTAAATCATGATTTTATTAAGTACTTGGTATCGGTATCGGTGAGTACTGAAATGCAAGTACTCGTACTCCTACTTGTTTTCCAAAAAAGTGGTATCGGTGCATCCCTAATCTCGACAATTATGTGAGTCTGTGAATTCACAACGCGGTTTAATCCATCTCTGAGCTCCGGGGTGAGGCCAATATTCCTCGACAGCTCATTAATTTTCCGGTAAGCCAGGTAGCCTCCAAGGCCAATGAGCAGGAAACCCGACACCAACACCACGAATATCCACACGTCTTCAGAGTCCTCCACAGACAGCTGAGATAAACAAATCAAGTTCCACTGTTTCCAGGAGTCCATGATGTGTCCAACTGGGTCTGTCCCGCAGGGGCATCCAGGAGCCCCTTCTCCCGCTCTCATCGTTGAAAAACTTTTATCAATCGCATTGAGTGACCAACTGATGAGATCCATTTTAGTGATTTCAGTTCCCAGTTTCCAGAAAAATGCAGAAGCAGCCGAGCACCCAGCACACAGAGATAGACAAAGGCCTTGAGGATGAGATAAGGAGGAGAGGAGGAAAAAAGCATCTGCACCCTCCGAGAGCCGGAAGAAGACCGTTCCCTACCTGTAATTTTGCAGCTATATTTGCTATATTTATAAATGCAAAGAAGGAGAGCCGTGGATGTGTTGCACGTAATTTAGATAATCAGTCCACACTGCCGCAGGCTCAAAGCGAGTGTTGTGTGTGTTATAATGTCACAGACTGGTTCGGGTTGAGTTTTTGTACCAGTTAGTAATATCAGCGCTGATGCAGAGCAGGAGGGACACTGATGAGCAGCTCCTCCTTCTGCTAAAAAGCTGACCCGGTTCTGAGTCCAGTTCTCATTAGAACATGTCTGATTCTGGACACTGAGTTAGATCTGAGAGCAGTCAGATCACTCACCAGCCATGTTATAAAGCACATATATTAGACAGTTTGTTTTGTACATGATCTAAGTTTCTAAACTCCCACAACAACGTGATGTTATTATTATTTTCAGGCTAAATCTGCCCAATAAATCTGCTGTCAGACTGATGTAGTCCCCCACCGGCCTGCAGCGGTCCAGGCTAGAAGTCTTGCAGGTGAGTTCTTTTTCAACCATCTGTCTTTCTTTACCTTCTAGTTTTAACATGTAATTATTTTTAGCTTATTGTTACGCATTTGTTGCTGCTCTTAAAAACAACTATAAATGTATTTGCTGTTTCTTTATATTTCACATAGCCTCCCAGCAGCTGCGTATCTGACACTGGGACCATGATGAGAATTCCACCCAGAGCAGCTTCTACACTCCTGAACAGACCCAGGTGTGGTGGAGAGCTACTGAGCAGCTTCCATCTGAATGACAGGACAAGCTCTATGAACTGATCCAGGTAAAAACAATCTAAATAATAATATTGTACTCCGTTTTCTGTTTTTTTCCTTACGTCTCAGCCTGGCTGGTCACCACTGGAGAGGAGTATCTTCCCAGACTCACACTAACATCCCATTTTACCTCAGGGCCTCCTGATCTAACAGAAAAACCTGTTGCTCCATCCTTGCTCTGCTTTCCACGTTTCTCTTCATCTCTGAAAGCTACCTCCCACAACACTGATGTTATATATAATTTTTTTTTCAGGCTAAATGAACCCAAGTAATCTGCTGTCAGACTGACTGTTGCAGCTACAAATGGTCCAGACTAACATGAAGCCTTGCAGGTGTAGTAAAAGTGAGTTGTTTTTAATCATCATGTAATCTTCATTACAACCTTTGAGTTTTAACAGCAACTATGTTTTTGTTTCATAGCTTATTGCTACACGTGTGCTGCTGCTGCAAGCTTGGAGCTAGATTACATCATGACATCATGAAGGAGACTACTGATTCTGGTCCTGTGACACTTGGTGACGTGTGAGCTGATTCACTGGATAAACAACATCAAAATTAAATATTTTGGTTTTTGCTATTAAAAGTAAATTAACTAATAACCTGCATTATTGCAGGACACTCAGCAAAATATGGACTCTACACCATGAGGCAGGCACACATTAATACTCTATAAGAGCACATAAGGTGAGCAACACCACATATTATTGTTATTATTGTACACTGTCCTGGATTTGTTTTCTTTCTGCATCTCATCATTAGCCTGGCTGATCACCTGATAACTCCTGTCATCTGGTTATGACAGCATGAGGATGTCCTCACACACCTGTAACCTATCAGCTCATCTGGCAGAATAGAGAGAGAAGAGACAACACCACATCTCCTGTTCCTGGAAAGCCTTCAGCCATCCTTCGATGACTGAGAACCTCCATCAGCTCTGTCTCCTGTCTGCCTACAATTATTATAATAAATATTGTGTTTGACAAGTTTTTTGTGCTGTCAAATATCTCATTTTGATTCCAGTTTTTATATTTTAATAGATATTTATAAATTACATTAATTGAAATATCACATTGTTGCATGTTTAACTAGCTCTATTGTGATGAATTAAACTAGCACCTCACTGTTAAAAGCTCGTTTTAATTTCAAGCATGTTTAAGTATTTATGGACATGAACAAAAACAGGAAATATATAAAATGAAATTTATTTAATTAATATAACAAATAACTGTTTAGATGAGGAAGGAATCTTTCAAAGGCACATTCTTCTGGAAGCTCCTGATCCTGACGACACCACCAGAGGAGATCAGCTGCTGACAGATTATCACCTACAACCTAGAGAACAGCCGGTGTCAGTAAATAATGAAATCAGGGCAATTTTAGGTGGATGTTTGTGACTGTGTAACATAAATGAACACATTACAAAATAACTTTCTCTGCAGCAGACAGTAACTTTAGCATTCAACGTCAGACGGAAGACACATCAGACTGATTAAATTTCTCTTTCAGGACCTTTAGCTTTGATGTGACCTGCTTTTTGTCCCGCTTGACGCCCCGCTCAGCCAGTGTTTTCACCACTCTGTCGAACAGCTGGCTGTCTCTCACCGTCCCCGTAAAAAGGCGACTAATCCTTTCGTCCGCTCGCACATCCAACAGCACCATGGTCTCAGCATCCGTTATCTGTGTTTATATTCCCTCCGGCCAGCACTCGGTGAGCAGCATACATCACTAACGCGACCACCCTCTTTTGCGGGGTGGGGGCATCCCACAGTCGCTCCAAAGGGATTAGCGGCACATTAGCTGACACACATTTAGCCATCAGAGGCGAGGGGCTCATGCGGCATTATTACTACGAGGCTAAGCGCATCACAATCGAGTTTTATCACCTTTCCCCTTTGCTCCTTGCCGCATTTACGAGACCCACAAATTTGGATTTATCGCTCCGTAATGACGCAATGGTCCGTCTTATAAAAGTGGCTTTAGATTAGCTGTTCAGCACCTCAGCTATTTGCTGCTGATTAAAACCAGGTGTGTTGAAGCAGGTGAATCTCTAAAACATGCTTGATAATAGCTCTCTAAGACCATGGGGCCGAACCCTGTAGCTAATCTGATGCTATGACTAACGGCTACTTGCCATTCAGAGCTGGTTCTGTTGGGTCGGCTCCGGTGGTTTCAGGCAACTCAGAAGCTCAAAACAATAAGGCTCTGGTCCGCTTGTCTCCTCCAGACAGACTTGGTCCCTTTCTTTTTGAGTGTCTGGGTAAGGAGGGGGAGAAACGTCCTCCACTTCTAATAATCGCTCAGAGTGAAAAAGCTAGCTTTGTCTCGTTACCCATCCGTCTGCGTCACTGCCGCAGCTCAACCCTCTCGGTTTGCCAGGCAACACCTACTAATGTTGCAGTTTTCAAAATTGATACGTGGTTGGAGAAGGACTCTGAGGCAGGGTTGACGACCCCTTTAAATGGGATGAAGTCCAAACCTTCATATATGTGTTCCAGGTATAGGATTCCTTTACTTTTCCAGTCTGGAAGGTTCTTCATTTTGTTATTTGGCTGGCACTCGGAGTACAGACGCTTCTCTCTTCGCTCCCTTATCTTTTTTCCCCAAGGTAAATGGCCTGTACTTGATATAGCGCCTTCTAGAGTCCTGGAACCCACCAAGGCGCTTTACAACCCAATCAGTCATTCACTCATTCACACACATTTACACACTGGTGAGGATGAGCTACAATGTAGCCACAGCTGCCCTGGGGCGCACTGACAGAGGCGAGGCTGCCGAGCACTGGCGCCACCGGTCCCTCCGACCAACACCAGCAGGCAACGTGGGTTAAGTGTCTTGCCCAAGGACACAACGACAGCGACAGACTGAGTTGGGCTCGAACCTGCAACCTTCCGATTATGGGGTGAGCACTTAACTCCTGTGCCACCGTCGCCCCAAGGCTCTTTGTCCTGTCTGCCCACAGAGCGCTTCTCTGCATTTCTTCTGAAAAACCCTATTTTTAACCATGGATTTGATAAATTGGTCATTCAACGCGATTGATAAGATTTTTTCAACAATGAGAACGGAGCAGGGGGCTCCCACATGCCCACAGGGGACACACCCGGTGGGGTATATGCTGGATTCCTGGAGGGAATGGAAGATCATATGCCTCTGCCAGCTGTCCAATCGAAGATGTGTGGCTATTAGGCCTGATGATCACTGGATTTCTCCTGATTGGAGTGGGAAGATATCTGGTTTTCTGGAAATTTGGGAAGATGGGAGCGATTGGAGGGCGACCCGCACCCACGGAAAGCACCATCCGTGTGGAGACCTCACAGACTGGGACGTTACCCGAGGTGAATCGTAAGCTGGACAATGTTCTAGCTGCGATAACGGTATTAGTGCTCAAAATGGATGTCAATTCGGAGAGAGTCATCGGACGGTATGGACAAGTTTAAAACTCAAAATTGGCTTCACTGAAGAACTGGAATGATCAGTTTAAAGACTGAAGGCAGAGAGGAAAATTATCTCAGCCTGACCCAAACAAATACTTCTTATCTGAATCTGACGTCCTGGTAGCCTTGAGCGACTAGCAACAAACCCCCACGAAGGAATGAAGGATGTGCTCTGCGCTTCTCCCAAGATCTCCCTCCCACCTGTGACTACAGTGGCTGGGCGCCGTAGATGGCTGCTCTCGCTGGGGGAAACAGGATCCCAGCCCCGTCTCATGTTGTGTTGTCTGAAGTCTGTTGCATATCTGTTGAGGTGTTTTTTTGCAGAGCAAAGCTGCCCTGCTGGTGGGAGGGTAACTCTGAAGTGCCTTTTTTCCCTCCACCTGAACCAATTCCTCATGTAACCCTCTGATCTCTATTAAGGTAGCGTGAGTCAGGGTTGCGAATGACCACAGTCACCAATTCTTGTCATGTGTCTTGCCCATGTATGTCTGATCTCTGAATTGTGTGTACTGAAACTCTAATTTCCCTCTGGGATTATTAAAGTATTGATTGATTGATTGATTGATTGATTGATTGATTGATTGATTGATTGATTGATTGAAAATATCAGGATTATTCCGGATAGGTGTGCGTCTTATTGGTATTAGCAAAGACTCCGTCATTTTTAGATACTCCCACCATGCTGACACAATTTTTTCAGCAAACGCTTCCATCAAGCCAAATAGTGAATCAATACAAATACATCAGAACATGTAAATTTACAAGTAGAGTCATAATATATAAAGTGAAATGATTTGGAGAATAAGCATTAATGTAATCGTTTGTAGAAAAGCCTTTGTTGGTAATTATAGCTTCTAGATGGAGAGACCAGTCGTCTGCATGTCTCAGGAGCGATTCTGGGCCTCTTTTATGAGCTTTGATCTTTAGTTCTCTCCATAGATGTTCTATAGGATTAGAGTCAGTGTCTTGCTGAAAGGTCAACCCTCTTTTCGTTTTCAGCTTTCTGATAGATGGCAGCAGATCTTTATCCAGAATGTCTCTGTACATTTCTCCATTCATTCTTCCTTCAATAATAAAGAAGTCATCCATTACCCCTTGCTGAAAAGCAGCACCACACCATGATGCTTCCATTCCCAAACTTAACAGTTAGTATGGTGTTCTAGAGGTGATGGGCAGTGCAGTTTCTTCTCCAAACATGGTCTGTAGAATAACTGCCAAAAAGTTGAATTTTACTTTCATCTGACTATACTATAGTCTCCCAGCAACACAAAGGCATACAAATTGAGCAGACTCAAACTCTGGACTAGGCTGATGAACAGCTTCTTTCCTGAGCCAGTGAAGCTCCTGAATTCCGACCCATTAGATGTTTGTTAAAGACTTCATCGTATTTATTTATTTATTTTAAACTGTAACCAGTACGTTGCCTGATTGAATCTAGGCTCCATCCATGTCAGTTACTGAGTCCTTCGGCAAGACACTTAACCGCCTTTGCCTGCTGGTGGTGGTCGGAGGGAACGGTGGTCCCTGTGTACAGCAGCCTGATGACCAGGGCAGCTGTGGCTACAATGTAGCTCATCAACATCCATGTGTGAATGACTGTAGTGTAAAGTGCTGACTCAGTAAGGCACTATGCAAATAATTTGGTTTGAAATGTAAATGTATCCTATAGCTAGCTCACCATCATGTAAATCTTGTTTCGCAGAGAAAGAGGGAAACCACTCTGGGCTTGAGCAGCCACACGAGCTGATCAGCTTAGCGTCCAGATCTAGAAGTCAAGAACAGCGATCAAACAAGAATCAAAAGCAAACATCTCCCTCAAGGAAGACATGGACAAAAGTTATTTTTCCAACGCAGTTTCCTATGCAGACAGTCCACCACGAAGGTGGCTGTTGGTCTGGTACTATCGACACCCTGTTGGGACCTGTTGTCACTGAGGATTCTTTCTCACACCTGAGATCCACAAGGTTGTGGAGTTGGACAGACCCCCACTAACTGTATCTAACACTTTATGTACCGTATCTTCCAGAGTATAATGGGCTCAACACATGGGAGGCGACATCGCCTCTCCTCCATTCATTTTCAATGAGACATGCGCAACAACGCGATAATCGCGGGTTGTTTAAGAAGATTTATTTCTAAACAATTTTAAAGAATTTTAAACAAGACTAACTCTAACTCTAACTGATAAATGGATCTTGGTGTGAATGATACGTGAGATGAATGGTGTATGTGTGAGTGATGTTGTCATCAGAACTCTCGTATCCGGAGAAGCAAGTCTGAATGATGTTGTGATGTTTTGCTTTAGCTATGATCAGAGTTTGATCGGAGTTTCATTAACACATTAGACGCCATATTTGTCGCTCTACACATACCCTTCAGATGAGACCTCCGTACAGATCCAGACTGCCAGGTCCTCTAACCCCCCTTTCGGTACTGGAGCCGATGAAACAGCGTCAGCAGTGCGACAGACTAGTCTTTGGATTGTCTCCAGGTAAAAAGTGA